CCGCTAAGCCGTAGCCGTTCTTCAAACTTAGCAGCCCGGGCACTAAGATAGAGGTCTAGTGGCGGGATTGCTGCTTCTGCTTCCAGGTGGCGAACCGGCGTCGCTTTGTGGGCGCCACAGACTACCCGGAGGCACTCGTTCTGTATCCCCATCAGGCTCTTAGCTGGCCCTGCCGGTTCCTCACTTATAGTATGCCACGCAGTCGCCCCGAAGGCGATCGCGCTACGGATAACCACCGTATATAATAGCCTCGCCCGTATAAGATCGCAGCCCCACGACATATTGACTAGCTTTGTCAGGGCTAGCTTTTGAGTTGCCATTTTTGTTTTAACACGCTCAACATGGGCGTGCCACGTCAGTTTGCGGTCGAACCAGACTCCTAGGAACCTGGCTGAGACTACCGGCGACACTGTGGCGTCCCCAAGGCGAATACTTTGCGGCAAGGGCTCTTGGGCCCTAGTAAAGTGCATTAGCTCACTCTTGTCAGGAGCGAACTCCATCCCGTGCCTCACTGCCCACCGCTGACACGTGTCGAATATCACGTGTGTCCAATCGAGTAGTCAGAAGTGCATAAGATTGTATTATGAATGAGGTGTGTTCTTCTCTGTCTGTCTTCTGTTCTCGCGAACTCCCGTTGCTCTGCCTTTTATAGATGCTTTAGAACATGTCGGTAACTTTGGTGTTACTTTTGAGAAGAGGGGTTCCTTTCGCCTTCTGAACTTTAAGTGACAATAGTCTTCTCTAGTGCCATATTATTTCTGAACCTAGGAACCAGGTGCCCTATCTGACAACACGTAGCCCATGCGCTCTCCAACCGGCGGCTGAGATGTAATTTAATTACTCTTATTATATTTTGAAATACTTTAACCAAAAGGTAGAAGAGAATTACCTTTACTTACACTTAGCTTAACGACTACTTTTTCAAAAGAATATAGCTTAGAGGGTTTTTTGACATTTATTCTTACCCTAATCGCACTAAGCCTATTCTAAGGGAAGAGAGTTTGACGTTCCTTATCTCAATTTAGGGAAAAATTAGAAAGGCCGCTTACTACTCTTTATATTTTATTTTGTCGGCTGGTGTAGTTGGTCACTTCGCTGGTAGATAAGTCCCGATTTGAGCCTCGCCCACTTGGGTCGGTGACGAGTCGCGGGTTCGAATCCCGCAGCTGACACACAAGGGGGTTTAGTCAACCCTTACGGCGCGCTGCCCACCTTGTTGACTTCGCCTACCTAGCGATAATAGGGAGATTGGTGCAGTTTAGGATTACGAGCATCCTAGCCAGTCGACCGTCAAGCACTACGTCGGCGGAATATAACTCGACAGCCGGTCCAGAATTCGAATCGTTAATCCGACCCCTTATCGGACCTCGCCTTTCCGATAACGCTCGTCGGCGAACCCGTCCCCTCACGATAGAAGGCGCGCAGCACGCCCTCTCGCCGCGATTCTTGCGAGCGTCTGACCACGTTACGGTCTATCCACTTGAGCGTATGGTTGAGATGTATACGCTCGACGAGAACCCCAATTAGCAGATACTACGACTTGTCGCGACAAAAAAAATAGTCGAGCATCTTCTGCACATCAGCAGCATCCCACCCCTGAGGACGAATTTAAGTGCCACATTACCACACTTATCGGTAGTTCAGGCAGGGGTTGTAGCACAGACTTAGGGAGGGACAGGAGGTTTAGTAGTCATTTGGCTACAAGTTTACCTGTATAACCGCCCGACGCGGCTTAAGGGCCCGCTATATCATCTATAGCCCCTTAAGGGAGTACTTGTAGAGGTACCGAGGGTTAACACCTACGGCGTATTTAATATTATTTTATTTTATTTTTAACTACGCTTTATAAATTATTCTCTTTACTCGACAAGCATGGCTGGTTTATCAAGTGTAAAGCGCGCCTCGTGGTGCGTGGTGACCAGCAGGCCAAGTCTGTATACGAACATACATATGCGTCAACTCTAGCTGGAAGGTCATTTCGATCTCTTATCGCAATTGCAGCCAGGTTTGATTTGGAATTACTTCAGTACGACGCAGTCAATGCATTCGTTAATGCTAAACTGCCTCATCCAGTATATATGAGAATGCCACCTGGCTATAGAAAAAGAAGCACGATACTCTTGCTACTCAAAGCACTCTACGGACTGCGAGAGTCACCTCTACTTTGGCAGGAAGAGTTCACCTCTACTCTAGCTAAGTATGGCTTCAAGCCAGTCCCTCATGAGCCCTGCTGCTATACTGGCAAGAATATACTAATCTTCTTCTACGTGGACGATATCGTCGTCGCATTCCATGAGAAGGATCGATCTATAGCACTCTCTACAGTGGAACAGTTACGACAGTCTTACGAGCTGACTGGTGGGGATGACCTACAGTGGTTCTTGGCCATCGAAGTTCTACGGGATCGAGAACAAAAGCTGATCTGGCTATGTCAATCTGACTATGCGGACAAAATCTCGAATCTTGCTACCGAACCTGAGAAACGATCCGTCGAAACGCCAATGTCAACCGAAGAGCTCTTACCCTACGAAGAGCGGTCTGACTACGCCACAATAAACATCTATCAGCGTAAAGTCGGATCAATTATGTATATCGCAGTTGCCACACGACCAGATATCGCATTTGCGGCGTCTCGGCTAGCGCGGTTCAATCTTAATCCAGGACCAAAACACCACGCCGCAGCTGACCGAGTTCTTCAGTACCTGAAGAATACCAGGACTCTGGCCCTTCAATTTGGAGGATCTGACGAATTTTATACCGCGAGCGATGCTTCATTCGCAGATAATACACTGGACAGGAAGAGTTCTCAAGCATACATTATGAAGCTCTTTGGTGGCACTATTGGCTGGCGAGCCAATAAGCAAGACACAATGGCTACTTCAACAACTGAAGCGGAGTTGCTGTCGCTTGCGCAGGCCACTAAAGAGACGATATTCATGTCCCGACTTCTGAAGGAATTAGGGGTGTCCTTGGACACTACTGCAGTCAGGATGGAGTGTGATAACAAGCAGACTATACGCCTGATCAATAGTGATCTCATGGCACTAAAGACCAAGCTCCGTCATGTTGATATCCACAACCACTGGCTGCGGCAGGCAGCAGTTACAGGAGATATTGAGGTTGTCTACGTCCCAACCGACCTTATGATCGCCGACGGCCTGACGAAAGCATTGGCTTCTGATCAACACAAGACCTTCGTCCGACAGATAGCCCTCACCGATATGGCTATGAAAATTCAGCAGCGGCGGATGCGGGAACTAACAGTTGAGGACTTCAGCAGAATGGAAGATAACCTTGTGGGAAGAGAGGTTGACTTCCATCTTGACTGATAATAGGATTGTTTGGAACAGGAAGAATGACCTAGAGATCTGGAAAGCAGTATGTCAGCATGGTCCTGCGGACAATGCTGAAGGGGTGTGTCAGATAGGGCACCTGGTTCCTAGGTTCAGAAATAATATGGCACTAGAGAAGACTAGTGTCACTTAAAGTTCAGAAGGCGAAAGGAACCCCTTTCCCAAAAGTAACACCAAAGTTACTGTCCACTTAGGGGTCAGACACCTGAACAATGTACCTCCGACATGTTCTAAAGAATCTATAAAAGACAGAGCAACGGGAGTTTGCGAGAACAGAGAACACAGAGAACAACACACCTCATTCATATACAATCTTACGCACTTCTGACTACTCGATTGGACACACGTGATATTCGACAAGGATCGCTGTTAAGAGGGAACTGTGGGATCGCACTGGTACTGGCATTCCGGCTATATACGAAGGTGAAGAAGGGAAGTACAGGTCGGGGATTGCAAGCCGTACAAGGGCACTAAAGTATCTCGCGTGTGTCTCACGTGACCTTAGGCATTGATCTGGACGCTAATTCTAGTGATCTTTGGGAAGCTAGTACGTATAAAAGGACCAGATGATTCGGCGGTTGATATACCACAATGGTGTCAGGAATGGCGAGCCCTACATCCTGGAAATGAGTTGAAAGAGCTTGATACCCGTGCCTATGCTAAGGTCATCAGATTTGATGTTGTCTAGGTCCAGTATTAAGTGTCATTCAAGGACCATCTAAGGCAACTATCCCGTCATGCATAAGCGATTGAAGAACTTGTATTGGAAATTCAAGGGCTTCAGAGAGACGACTGAATTTACGAAAAGCAAGGAGAATATCGGCATGGTATACCATAGGTGTACTTGGAACACACTGCCGGATTACTGACTCGGAGCAAAATTTCGTATCTGCCACAAGCTACGGGGAATCCCCCGTGCTATCCCAGTATGGCTGATCCAGACAGGTCTACGAATGCTTAAAGACGACACGGGTCTGCCTGATCCTCCAATAAAACATGACACACTTTCGGAAAGTCTGTTGGGGCATGAAAACAATTATCAGGGCACCTATAGCAAGACGAAGGGGAGGGAAGTGTGACGACGGAAGAAACCAGACCACTCGAGACTGAGTACCACATCAGAAACCAACTCTTTTTACAGCTTAGTAAATACCGAAAGGAAAACGGCTACAAGTTTCCATTTATGAGGTTTCGAGACGTAGAGGTAAACCTGCACCATAGAGTGATTGTAATGCGCACGGACAGAAAGGAGGATATAGAGGCTTAGTGAGCTTCGCATGATTGAGGAGGAATATCTTGGGTGTGTGATTCAAGGGTTGACCTGATGTTTCTCCTGGTTACCAACATGGTGCTGAACCTTCAGGACAAGACTACCTCATGCAAAGAGTCGGTTACAATATGAGTGATGATGTCGTGGGCTGGTTATCTGTCACAGGCAGTAAAATGATTAAAATGGAATAATGATCGGCAACACAAGGGATAACGCATACATGTATCGTTTTGATTGAGGAAAACATAGCAAATGAAGAGTAATGAGGATGCAACATTTAACATTCAAGTGATCCTCAAAGACTGCAACAATAGGGGTCAAAGAATACGTATATGTAAGTAGACATTTGGATGATACAAAATCGTAAAAAGAATATGTCTCCGGAGTGGGAGTCGAACCCACGGCCTGCGGATGACTTTGTGTAACAATTACAGTCCGTCGCTCTTCCAACTGAGCTATCCAGAGATGGTTAGTTAGTATTATTGGAGCTTAATAATCATTATATAACGATGTACAAAGTTGTGGGCCGTGGAAGATTTGGGCGATCCACTTGCATTGGCAACCCAACGACAGTTGAGTCAGTCGTCATTCCATGGCCCTTAATGATCAATGGCCAATACCGAGTAATAAAGATTGTGACTTTGCCATTGCGGAATGAATTGGAGCGTAGGTACTGGGGTGTTGCGAAGAAGGATGATACAGTTATGGTATTTGACAGTACATGATACACTTTATTGAAGAGAGAGATGCCTCTCGGAAACTTTTTTAAAAAAAAATTGCCCACGCGCTTTTTGGTCGTTGAGACTTTTGGTTCCTACTTAATAAGTACCACCCTTTATATGCCAACCAGCGTCTTAGATGCCATGCATATGAGCTGATGTTGAGATCCCGTGCTCGACCCCCAAACTCCTAATCAAATATACCGTGCAAGTCAACAATGACGTATTGGCAGTAACCACCTACATCCTCCGGTTGAGACCAACTAAACTGAGAAACTCGTTTCGCGTCTTCTCCTTTCGCTCAAAGCAGCCCAGCACACAGCTCGTGATTGTGGTAGCAGTCGTCTTCTCGACCCCGCGCATGACCATGCACAAGTGACTCGACTCCATAACGACGGCCACGCCCTGCGGCTTCAGGACCTCCATAATGGCATTCGCTACTTCTTTCGTAAGCCTCTCTTGGACTTGCAGCCTTCGACTAAACATCTCGGCTATCCTGGGAAGTTTAGAAATGCCAATGACATTGTCTGCCGGTATGTATCCGATGTGCATCTACCAACTGTAAGCGTTTTCTACATTCGCAGGGAGCTGAAGAAATCTACTTTGCCGGTAAAGGGGACCAAGTGGTGCTCGCAGAGGCTGAAGATCTCAATATCTTTTACAATTACCATCTCATTATGTCCCTCGTGAAAGATGGCATCATTAACAATGTCCTTGACGTTCTGCTGGTATCCCTTGGTGAAGAAAAGCATCGCCTTGGCGTACCGGGCCGGGGTATCCAATACACCCTCTCGATCGGGGTCTTCGCCGACGCATTCTAGAATTGTTCGAACGGCTGCGCGCATTTTGTCGAGTCGCTCGGCTGCCTGTTCACTATTTTCGTCGAGTCGTTCGCGAGTTCCACGACCTGGACGGTGTCAGCAGGGCTTGTGGTTGAGAGGAGAAGTAGACCATACTCGGCCTACTTAGACCATCAAAGTCTATTACGGGTGTAGGAGACCGTGTCTCAGTGCCCTGCACTACCTTGGCCTTCTTACCCTCCTTTCTTTCAGGCTCGTCGCGAGGATCCCGGGCGGCTTTGCTGAGACTATTCCGCCTTTTCGACATGGACTTGTCGCCATTAGGCTCGGGTAGGTCATCTTTGAACCGCCTCCATCTTCTCTTCTTCTTGTTGACCCTCCCATCTTCGGGCTGGCTGCCTTTCACGCTGTCATGAACAGAATCGTCGGTGTCGGAAGGGAGATTACTGGAGCCGCTCGAATGCTCTTTGGCAGCGAGTTTTGCGCGTCGGCCGGGTTCCGCGAATTGAACCATCGTGTCAAGCAGGTTGGTGGAGAAGTGATCATAGCCTGCGAGCTGCTGCAAGCGGGGAGTGATGGTGGTAAAGAAGGAGAAAATTTCGATATCCTTGCCCTCGGCGGAACGATAAGCGTTTGCTACTTGTTGATCCGTAATGGCGCGCAAAGGAGCACAGAAGTTCAGGTAGGGTAGTTGCGAAACACAACTTGTTGTTATTAGCGGCTGGTAGCAGGGTTTTTCTATGAGACGGCGGCTCTTTAAAGTTCTCAAGCAGCTCGAGCAATGCTGAAGTACCTAATTGAAGCTTCAATGCTTCTTCCAACTCTCCCCGCTGTCGGAATTGCTTATCGAACGTCCCTGCCGCCTGCTGACCTACTCACTCAACCCCCTTGAACCGATGTACCGTCTTGCACCAAAATTTAAGGGTATACCCCACCATGGACCCCACATTACCGAGAGTTTGGGGAAGTCACAGGCGGTGACGCGACCGGGCCCAAGCTCGACGGCAGAATTAGCTACGAAGTCCGTAGCCACATTCACGTTCCCTTCTCCATCAATGAATTATCTAGATTAAATCCGCCGCCGTGTTTCGCATAGATTACTGCACACAATCCTACACCCCACGATCTGCTTGCCTTCCATCTGCGAGCCTCTTTCCACTAACTTGGGTTCCCATTACCAAGAACATGGCATCACCTCCTGCTGCCTTCTCGCCTGCGGGCTCTCCTCCCTATCCGTCACATTCGCAGCTTCCATCCAAGAAGCGCTCGTCCAACGCAACTGAGCTGTCTGTCAATCCGTCGCTGAAACGAAGAAAGCCCTCCGCCATGTCCGCTACCTCGAGCGCATCCGCCCACCCGCTCCGACAGACATCTTTCCCCCCGGATGAGTCGCAAGGCCAAGCCTTCTCACCAACCTTCAAGCGATCCCCCAGTGCTGACACCATGAGCCTCGTTAGTGGTAGTCAGGTGAGCGGCGCGCCTCTTAAGAAGAAGCGCGGACGCAAGTCAAAAGCCGAACAACGAGCCCGCGAAGCTGCAGACGAGGCTGCCAGAGGAGCCGCGTCGAGTGTCGCAGGTGGTCCGGCAGCTAGCATCGCCAGTGGTCCAGGAGGCGCTGGTGGCGCCTCCAAACAAGGAGCTGATGATGATGGTGAGGGCGGCGGAGATTCCTTCGAGATACCGGAGAATATGGCTAGTAAGGCTGCCATCCGCACCAAGGAACAGGTTCAGAAGGAGGAGGATCTCCGTGCATTGCTCAAGCAGCGATTCAGCGATGAGCAGTTTCATCGATACGAAGTTTGGCACAAGCAGACGCTCACGATCGGAGCACTTCGTAGGGTAAGGCAACTCTAGGTCCTGTTCTCCCGCAGGGGTCACGCGTTGACAACTTCGCAGTACATCAACTCCATCACCTCACAATCCGTCACACCCTCCATTCCGCAGGCCATGCAAGTCGTCTGCAAACTTTTCCTGGGTGACATAGTGGAGGAGGCTCGCCGCGTCCAGCAGGAGTGGATCGCCGCAGGCGAGAAGCAGGTTCCGGGGAATGAAGAGGAGAAAATCCTGAATGAGGTTCCCAAACACCGACGCCAGGCCCCCTTGCGTCCCGATCACTTGCAGGAGGCCTATCGACGATGGAAAAGATCCAGTGAGGCTGGTGGATCTGGTGGCAGCTTGATGCTGTGGCATCAGCAGACGCGCAACGGTGCTGAGAGATTTGCGCCGAGGGCCGGCGGGAAGCGATTTTTCACATGAAATGCTGTAGGATTGAAGCTCTTAATTTCGACTTGTGGTTTTGATTTGATATTACGCATTAGATTAGGTGTTCGGCCTCTTGGGAGCCCCGGATAGCATTATGATACCCACGCGGCAAGGATAGTACAAGATGATTTAACGCTACGTCATGCGGCAATGTCTCAGAAGAATATTCTTCCATGACGCTAAGGAGTTCAATCCAAAGTAAATATACACCCAATGTGACCACGTCAATAAGTAGCCAAACCTGAATCATGGTTTGAATTTAACTGGCAAACGGAGTGCGACATCTCGGGTTCTTAATTCCTAATCGCAAACTCTCACAGCTATCATTACTAATTATCTAAAAGCTAGTCAATATGTCGTGGGGCTGCGATCTTATACGGGCGAGGCTGTTATATACGGTGGTTATTCGTAGCGCGATCGCCTTCGGGGCGACTGCGTGGCATACAGAACGAGTGTTAGGCAACCTTGGTGGGCGTTGCCAAGACCACCAAGGTTACCACGTGACTTAGCCCTTCGGGACTAAGTCCAACCTTCGTGCTCCATAGGACTAGATAGAATGTCATGCTTTTACAACCTCACAATCTTTGACCACCTTTGCGTGTAACAACGAGTGCCTCCGGGTAGTCTGTGGCGCCCACAAAGCGACGCCGGTTCGCCACCTGGAAGCAGAAGCAGCAATCCCGCCACTAGACCTCTATCTTAGTGCCCGGGCTGCTAAGTTTGAAGAACGGCTACGGCTTAGCGGGAAGAGAAATCTGCTTCGCAGCGCGAGCGCTAAAGCGTCACATATACTCCGGCAGGATAGGCCGGCGAAGAGGAAGCAGGCGTCGCAGCTACTCCGACCGGCAGGGTACACTATGGAGAAGGAGGCCCGGGGCTCCGAGTGGATGAGTGAGGAAAAGGAGGTCCCGGCTGCCCTCCTCGGCCACTGGAGGAAGAGATGGCTCACCGGAGCAGAGCATCACGATCGCCAGCGACGCGCTATCGCTGAGGAACCGGAGGGCCCTTCGATGCAGATACCGAAAGGGGGCAGGTATTTCGGCCTGAACCGACTGGAGGCGTCTACGCTGTGCCAGATCAGGACGGAAAAAATAGGACTAGCAGCCTTCTTATTCAAGACAGGGGCTTTTGGCGTGTACTCGCCGCTATGCCGCTGTGGCGACGCCCCTGAGACGGCAGAGCACGTAATCCTCTTTTGCGGGCTGTTGGAAGGACCGAGGGAACGATTACGGGCCGCCATCGCACCACGGCCACTATACTCTCGCAGAGACCTCACAACGGCAACAGGATAACCAGTAGTTAGTGGGGCTATTGTAAGGTGGCTGCTAGGGACGGGTCGGACAGCTTCAAGGCCCAGATAGCATCGATCTTCTCAGGGGGGACTTTGTTGGTAGGTTGAGAACCAACGTAGTATGGTAGTGAACGCAACGCAGTCGCCGATAGGGCGAACCGACGACGCAGCGTATGTATTTAGTCCAGCCATTAGGGCACGGTTTGACATATGGAAGTACTGGTAGAGCTCTGTACCGGGGGCTTCGAGCCTACGGCGTATTTAATAATAAAAAAATATTTTATTATTAATTATCGGTTTACTATCCTTAATTATCTTCTTTACCTTCGGTTTTCATAGTTAATTAGTTAATTATTTAGTTTAATGTGAATGTACACCGAGCTGGCCATGACACCGAGCTGGCCACTTTCATGCGCCAACGCGACCGGCCAACTTAATCTTTGATTTTCTCAACGACCAATTATGGCAAAGTCATACAACGAAGCAGACTTAATGCTAGCCCTTCAAGCTCTCAAAAATGACCAAAAACTTAGTCTCCGACAAGCGGCAAAAACGTACCAAGTCCCCCGAAGCACCCTCCAAACGCGTAAAAACGGCGTACCTTTCCGACGCGATATTTTGCCCAATTCACGAACTATGACAGAATTAGAAGAGGAGGTCATTATCAAGCATATACTGGACTTAGACGCACGAGCGTTTCCGCCCCGGATTGCTGATGTGGAAGCAATGGCAAATTCTATCCGCGCGACACGTAACGCAGGGCCCATTGGAACGCCCTGGGCCTCGAGGTTCGTCGCACGTCGCAAAGAGTTGAAAACTCGTTGGAACCGTCCTTACGATTACCAAAGGGCCCAATGCGAAGATCCAAAGCTTATTGCAGATTGGTTTCGGCTTGTTGCGAATGTTATCGCGAAATACGGTATCCAAGAGTCGGACATCTACAACTTCGACGAGACTGGGTTTATGATGGGCAAGATCTCAACCAATATAGTAGTTACGAGCTCTGAACGACGTTCCAGGCCGAAATCAATACAGCAAGGTAACCGGGAATGGGTTACCGTAATCCAAGCGGTCCAGTCTACCGGTTGGGCGCTGCCGCCGTTCATCGTTGTTGCGGGCCGATACCACCTCTCTTCTTGGTACGAAGACGACAACATTCCGAAAGATTGGAGAATTAGACCTAGTCCAAAAGGATGGACGACTAACGAGATCGGTATGGAATTTATTAAACACGTCGATAATTGTACGAAAGATGGAAAGTCCGGGAATATCGATTGTTAGTGTTGGACGGTCACGAGAGCCACGTTTCCGGCGATTTCGAGCTATATTGCAAAGAACACAAAATTGTAACTTTGTGTATGCCTCCGCACTCATCTCACATCCTCCAGCCACTTGACGTGGCCTGTTTCGGTCCATTAAAGCGGGTGTACGGCCAGATGGTAGAGAGATTGATACGCCGGTCACTAACATATATCGCGAAGGAGGACTTCTTTCCTATCTTCAAAGACGCTTTCTTTGCAGTTTTCGGCGAAAAAAACGTTCAAGCTGGCTTTCGAGGGGCAGGGCTTGTTCCATTCAATCCAGAAAGTGTGATTTCAAAGCTGGACGTACGATTACGGACCCCGACGCCTGTTGGCTCCCCAGAAATCGCAACCCGACCGTGGGTATCAAAGACGCCACAGAACCCGATAGAGGCTCATGCACAGTCTACTTTTTTGAAAAAGCGCATCTCCGAGCATCAGAATAGCTCTCTGACGAATATTTTCTCAGCTGTCGACCAGTTTGCGAAGGGAGCAAAAATGATAATGCACGAGCTCGCCCTCGTACGGGCCGAGTGCGCTGAGCTTCGAGGCAAATAAGATGCTAAGCCGGCGCCGGAGGACTAAAAAAATGCAATTACGGGAAGGAGAATCACTTATTTTCCAAGAAGGACAGGACCTACGGGACTCTAGGGAGTTGGCGACGCAGATACAGCAAGAAGAGCGCCGAAATGGTGGTCGCGCAAAGCGTGTTGAAACGCGTCCGAGGCGCTGTGGTATTTGCAACGGGACTGGGCATAATGCGCGAACTTGTAAGATCGCATTGACATCTTCTGGAGAGGAAGATTCAGAGTAGTTTCAATTGATTTACGGCGTTGTGGTTTTACTATCGTAAAATTTCTATGCGAGGTTATGTAAGGGTGGCCAGCTCGGTGTCATGGCCAGCTCGGTGTCATGGCCAGCTCGGTGTACATTCACGTTACTACGATAGAGAAGAGAAGGAAAGTCTATTAAGGCCGTTAGAAAGGGGGCCGTAACTTATAGTGCCGTATCCGTAGTTAGAGCTACTAGATGGAATATAGCCCGAGCGCTAAGGTTATATAAAGATAGGTGCGGCTGTGTATCCTGGTCGATCTACCGCACTGGACTCATGTCACGAATGTCAAGTTCATTGAATTCGTGCCAAGTCAGCTGTGTGGTCAGATCTGTTGATTCGTGGATCGATTGATGATAAGTCTAGGTTTCTATGTAACGCGGTAACAGCGTTGGCTTTATTTCCACATTTGTGGGGCCTAGGGCCACACCTGTGGGGCTTAGGGCAAGCCACACTCGGATCCACACGGCTGTGTGCTAGGGAAGGTAACTACGATTAGGCTATCACATGTGAAGGTCAACCCTCGCAGACTCACTACAACCAGGTGACTTACAGCTGGAACACCTGCCGTGGCAGTGTCAGATGGGAAGCCAATCATAACCCTTGTAGGAGCCCCGCCAAGCGTGGATGACTTAGTCGCGCTCCCTCAAACCTAAGTTGTCATCTTCTTTCCTTCGCTCCTTAGAGTAGAATCTTGGTCGATAGCACCTAATCGAGGTCTCTACCAATGCGATGCAACCCAGGTCGTGACATCACGGAAGTTAATTCTAAGTAAGGTATTTTGTTAACTTCTATCTACTGAGCTAAGTAGTACGCGTTTAGCCCCTTTTAAGGAGCTTAATCTCCGATAATTATCCTATCGTTCGGCGGGTTTAGCTATATAGCTATACAGCTATTGTAGTGGGGCCAGGCCGGACGTCAGGAAAGTAGGTGACGGGGGCTAGGGAGGACTCCCCTGTCTCCCTCACTTCTTCAGGGACGCGGTAGTGACAGACAACTTTCAACAACTCGTCATCTCTTTTCATCATCTTATTCAATCAACTTGACTTTTGTTTTCTAATCTAGTTAACGTAGTCCACGGTCCAATTGCACACTTTGGCAGACCTTATACGACAATGTATAAGTTAATTCAACCACAACGCCTATCATCAATTGAAACTACTCAGAATCGTTATCTTCAGACGTCTCTACATCATTTCCACAAGTGCGCGCATTATGTCCGGGCTTGCCGCAGATTCTACAGCGCCGTACACGCGCAATTCGCCGCCTCGTACGACCACCAATTTGACGAAATTCGTCATGTAACTGCCCATCAACCTCTCGTTGAGACTGTAGGTCCTGTCCAGCTTGTATACGAAGTGACCCTCTGGGTGAAGAACAAGAGTTCTGAATTGTTTGAACGGGGTATTGCTGAGTTGGACAAGGAAGATCTTCCTGCTTTGGATAGCCATGAGAGATGTCTGGTTGAAGACATGAGGTCTATGGGTGTCCCTGAAGACGTAGACTGGTCCTCGTTTGGTTTGGGTGCAGATTTTTCTGATCTGGGTTCCTTGATTCCTCTGGATGCTGCCGGTGGTACTGTGCAAGCTTCTGGCGACAATGCGCCAAATGCGTCTTAGGTTCCCATGAGTTGTCCGATGGTGGGTAATCTTTCCATTTGACTAGGTATTCCTGTTGTCCTTGATTCTGACGTGTGTCTAGAATTTCCTCGACCTCGTATTCGTTTTGGTCGGTTTCTGCTTCGAGCTGTGTTTCGAGTGGCGTGTGTTCTGGGGCTGGTTCGAGTAATGAAATATGAAATACTGGGTGGATCTTCATGCTGTCTGGTAGTGATAGTCGATAGTTGGTTGATGAAATGACTTCTGAAATTTTGAATGGTCCGATTTTCTTGAAATCGAGTTTGTCGCTTGGTCGTTTGGTTTTGATGTTTCTTCGTATTAGGTAGACCTTGTCTCCTCTCCCTAGGATTGGTCCCTCAACCCTTTTCTGATTGGCGTAGTGTTTCATTCTTTCGTTGAGAAGTCGTAGATCCTGCTGCAGTCCCTGCTGTAGTCCTTTGATCTTTTCTACCTGGATAATAGCTCCTGGAGCTGTTCCTTGTTCTGAGCCTTCTCGGAGTATATCTGGGTTGAATCCGTAATTTGCATAGAATGGTGTCGTGTTGATTGCTTCGGTGTGTGAGCTGTTGTAGGCGAACTGTGCTACTGGTAGTAGTTGTACCCAATTGTTCTGCTCGTCATTGACGTAACACCGTAAGTATTGTTCGAGAGTCTGGTTCATTCTTTCGGTCTGTCCATCCGTCTGGGGATGATAAGCTGTCGATAGCTTATGTTTTGTGCCGAGCTGCTTCATTAAAGACGTCCAAAACTTGGATGTGAAGAGCTTGTCTCAATCAGATACGATTGTCTCTGGTAATCCGTGCTGACTGGTGATAACTCGCAGGAATGTGTAGGCTAGGTCCTCTGCCGTGCTGGCTTCCTTATAAGGTAGGAAGTAGGCGTACTTCGTAAGTCGTTCGGTGATTACGAGGATGCTGTCATAGGTAGTCCTAGTTAAAGGCTCCTTAGATTTGGGTAGTTTGACTATAAAGTCCATAGCTATTGATTTCCATGCTCTGTCGGGTGGTGCGATAGGTTGTAGTTGTCCATATGGTTTATGTCGAGAGGTTTTGCTCTTATGACATAAGTCGCATTCCTTGATAGTTTCTGTGACTATCTGTCGTAGTCCTGGGAAGTCGTAGGCTTCCTGTATTTGTTTTGTTGTTTTGTACGTTCCTTGATGTCCGTGTACTGGGTGCTCGTGATAGTCTTTGACTAATTCTTTTCCTAGTTTTTATGGTACTTCGATTCTTCCGTTATATTCCTGGTTTTCTGGTTGTATTTCTTGTATCCGGGTTTTCCATTGCTGTAGTGGTTGTAAGGAAAATGTTGCGTTGAGCTGTCTTGAAGGTTCTAAATTTCCTTGTCGGCTGGTGTAGTTGGTCACTTCGCTGGTAGATAAGTCCCGATTTGAGCCTCGCCCACTTGGGTCGGTGACGAGTCGCGGGTTCGAAGCCCGCAGCTGACACACAAGGGGGTTTAGTCAACCCTTACGGCGCGCTGCCCACCTTGTTGACTTCGCCTACCTAGCGATAATAGGGAGATTGGTGCAGTTTAGGATTACGAGCATCCTAGCCAGTCGACCGTCAAGCACTACGTCGGCGGAATATAACTCGACAGCCGGTCCAGAATTCGAATCGTTAATCCGATCCCTTATCGGACCTCGCCTTTCCGATAACGCTCGTCGGCGAACCCGTCCCCTCACGATAGAAGGCGCGCAGCACGCCCTCTCGCCGCGATTCTTGCGAGCGTCTGACCACGTTACGGTCTATCCACTTGAGCGTATGGTTGAGATGTATACGCTCGACGAGAACCCCAATTAGCAGATAGTACGACTTGTCGCGACAAAAAATAGTCGAGCATCTTCTGCACATCAGCAGCATCCCACCCCTGAGGACGAATTTAAGTGCCACATTACCAGACTTATCGGTAGTTCAGGCAGGGGTTGTAGCACAGACTTAGGGAGGGACAGGAGGTTTAGTAGTCGTTTGGCTACAAGTTTACCTGTATAACCGCCCGACGCGGCTTAAGGGACCGCCATATCATCCATAGCCCCTTAAGGGAGTACTTGTAGAGGTACCGAGGGTTAACACCTACGGCGTATTTAATATTATTTTAAATTTCCTTCTTCGTCGAGTTGTAGAATAGTTTGTGTATTCTTCGGGATTTCTTGTTCGTGGTCGGGTCTTCGGCTAAGAGCGTCTGCTCTTCCGTTTTCGCTGCCTTTGCAGTAGATGATTTTAAAGTTGAATTCCGTCAGGAATTCTGCCCATCTGATTTGTCGTTTATTCAGGCCTTTCGCAGTTGTGAATGCCGTAAGGTTCTTGTGATCGGTGTAGACTTGTACTTGGTAAGTCGTGCCACTGAGGTAGTGCTTCCATTCTTTGAATGCTTCGATAATAGCCATTAGTTCCTTGTCGTGGATCTGGTAGTTGAGTTCTGGTCCGTTGAGTTTCTTCGAGAAGAATGCTACAGGGTGTAGCTTGCCGTTTTCGTCTCGTTGTCCTATTTGTCCGCCGATAGCGTAGTCTGAGGCGTCTGTTTCGATTTCGAACTGCTTGTCGGGGTCTGCCATAGCTAGTACCGGTTCTTGTATGATCCATTGCTTGATTTTATCAAAAGCTTCTTGCTCTCTGGGCGTCCATTGGAATGGTTTATCCTTCCGAGTCAGGTCCGTTGAAGGTCGGGTGTCGTTACCGTAACCTTTGAGGAACATGCGATAAAAATTCGCAAAGCCGAGGAATCCTCTAACTTCCTTAATACAGGTCGGTATTGGCCATTCTTTAACTGCTGATATCTTGGAGACTTGCATTCGAATTTGCCCTGGGGATATCGTATATCCCACAAAGTCGACTTCCTTCTGGTGGAACTTGCTTTTCTCAGAGTTCACTACTAGCTTTGCTTGCTGTAGTTTCTGTAGAACTTGGTGGACGTGCTGACGGTGTTCTTCGAGAGTCCTTGAGTAGATAAGGATATTGTCCAGGTATACCACAACGAAGTGGTCGAGGTGTTCTCGCAAAACGTGGTTGATCATAGCTTGAAAGCTAGCGGGTGCGTTAGTAAGGCCAAAAGGCATTACTAGGTATTCGAAGTGTCCGTATCTGGTCCTGAAGGCGGTCTTCCATTCTTCGCCTTTCTTGATTCGAATCAGATTGTATCCATCCTTTAGATCCAAAATAGTGAACCACAAGGCTCCATGGAGTCTGTCGCGTAGTTCCTTGATCAAGGGTAGGGGGTATCGATTCTTAATGGTGATGTCGTTTAGTTGTCTGTAGTCCACACAGAGTCGTAGTTCTCCGTTCTTTTTAGGTACGAATAGGATAGGGTATCCTGCTGGAGATGCCGAGGGTCGTATATAGCCTTTCGCTAATTGTTCGTCCAGGTACTTCCGAAGTGCCTGTAGTTGTGTCTCGTTTAGACCGTATATCTTATGGAACTTTGGTTGTTCTCCTGGTTTGAGCGGTATTTCGTGATCCCATGGTTCATGTTCTGGTAATCCGAAGTTAAGCGTGCCGCTGAATAGTGTCTTATATCCTCTGTATTCGATCGGGATATTTTCGTGTATCGTGATGTAGAGTTCCTTTGTGTCTTGCTGTAGTGGATGCTCAATCCCTTCTAATCTGACCGCCTCTGTCGGTAGGCTGTCAGTTAGGTCGCCGTGCTGCTGTGCTGAGGGTGTTGGTCCTGTAATTTCTTGCATCGGCTTAGACTCCTGAGACTCGTCGCGTCGAATTCCTGCCAGTGTCTTCTGAATCTTGCTTCTGACCTGTTTCTTAGGTACCACAGAGGCCAAGTTCCTTCCTGGTCGATCCCACTGAAGTTGGCCTGTTCTCCAGTTGACTATAAGATTGCTCACCCGCAGCCAGGGTATCCCCAAGATCGTCTCATGATCTGTGATGTCCGTAATGTCGAGCGTGAGACGTTCTCTTTGGCCTTGGATGTCGAGGGAGAGTTCTGCAGTTTCTCGATCAACGATTCCTCCGCCGTATGTTACTAAGTCTCCATCCACGGTCCTTAGTCGGTATGGGGCGTCTTTTCCTGTCCATGGTATCTTATACCGGTTGACGATTCGTGGTGATATATAGTTTCCTTGTGCGCCGCTGTCTAAGAGCGCCTTGATCTTTCTGCCCATCACTTGTACCTCCAGTATCAAGTGGGCTTTGCTGTCTTCATGTTTTGTGACAGCTAGGGACCTGGTGGTGTCGATCGTGCGTGGTCCCTGACCATACGATCGCACTAGTTTTTTGTGTGCTTTCGGGAGCTTTCCCCTCGTTCTTTTGCTTGTCCTCTTCGTGACAGGTTACGTGATTCCTTCTTGTGGTGCCTAGTCGCGATAGGTCTTGCTTCTTCGTCTGACGATATGGGTGCAATAAATTTGACGATTCGTCCTTGGTTTGGTTGGCTCTCTCGCCAGGCTTGTGCCTTCCTTTCGTAGTGTATGAGGCATAGGTCGAGGTGGCATTCTTCCCAGGTGAATTCCTTAGTCACACATCGTTTGGGGTACCGGGGGTCGTGTCGTAGAATTGCGAATTCCCTTTCGCTGCGTAGCGTGATACGGGTATGTTGAATCTCCGAGACTTCGTAGGGGTGTGGAATAGCTTGGTCCTTCACACGCCTAGGGAACCAGTTGTTCGTTGTCTTGGCGGGGAGGTGTAGCCCACATCGAGGATATACACACGAGATCCATGCGAGTTGCTCATGGTCTGTCGCCGTAGGGTGAATTCTATCGTCGTCTCCGAATTTTGTCATATTATCGCCGGGTTGCCTCTTCATTGCTTGTTGGATAGCGTTTTCGTCTTTTGTATTTCTTCCAGGGATAGCGATCCAGCCTTCGACCTCTAGGTCCTGTTTCTCTCGTAGGTACCTGTCGAGCTGATCGTCGTCGTAAAATTATATTCGGCCTGGGCTGGGGGGGTTGTGCGTTTTCT